TAATATGAACGACCTTGTTTCGGAGTACCAACAATATCAAAATGACACTGCTGACGAAGATGAAGAGGATTTGGTTCAGGAAAAAGCTTACGCGGGCACGTTTTTACTTGTTTCGAGGTTTGGTTTTTTATTTTGGCCTTGAATGGAGAGAGATTTTGGAGTTTTTAGATCCTAAAACTCAAAAAATTGGCAATCAAGTTTTTTAAATTTGGTTTTCCTAAATTCCAGGAAAACTACTTTATAGAAAAAAAATGAACTAAAAACCAAAAGCTATATTTTTTGGATTTATAAATCTATAAAAACCAAAAGTCAAAAACCAAAAACTAAAATCTAAAAACCAAAAACAAAATCTAAAAACTCAAAATAAAAACTTCATTCATTCAACACCTTTGTGTATTGGTGAAGAGATCAAAGCTTGATAATAAAAGTAAAAAATACTTATTCATCGGGTATGATCAAAACTCAAAAGGATACAAGTTCCATAATCCAAATACTGGAAAAACCATTGTGAGTCGTGATGTAGACTTTGATGAAGATGAGGAGTGGGACTGGAACACTCGCAATGAAGACTATACATTTCTTCCCTACATAGAAGAACAAATGTAGAATGAGATTGAAGAATCCACAACGCCACAAGATCCATTATCACCATCATCATCGGACGGAAGCTCAAGTGAAAGAAACCCTCGATTTCGAAGCATTGAAGATCTATATGAGGTAACTGAAAGGCAAGATGATCTTACTTTTTTCTGTCTTTTTGCAGACTGTAAACCTAGAAATTTTGATGAGCTATACAAAACGAAAGGTGGAGGAATGTCATGGATGAAGAGATCAGAGACATTGAGAAGAATGATACATGGGATTTGACCTCACTTCCAATAGGTCACAAAACGATCAAGGTAAAATGGGTATATAAAGTAAAGAAGAATGCCAAAGGAGAGATCGAAAGATACAAAGCAAGACTGGTGGCAAAAGGTTACATCCAAAGAGGAGGGATCGACTACGACGATGTATTTGCTCCTGTAGCTCGTCTTGAAACTGTAAGATTGTTCATCTCTTTAGCAACCCAAAACAGGTGGAAGATACATCAAATGGATGTAAAGTCGACATTTCTTAATGGGGTGCTTGAAGAAGAAGTTTATATCCAACGACCACCTGGTTATAAAGTTCGGGGGAAAGAAGACAAAGTTTTGAAAGTGAAGAAGGCACTCTACGGATTGAAGCAGCACCGAGGGCTTGGAATACCCGCATTGACAGGTATTTTACTGAAAACAATTTTATCAGATGTTCATACGAGCATGTCCTCTACATAAAAAATTAAGGAGGAGATATGTTGATTGTATGTCTGTATGTGGATGATTTAATCTTTTACCGAGAATAATCCGTTGTTGTTCGAGGAATTTAAGAGGCAAATGACCTACTGACATTGGGTTGATGGCTTCTGATCTGGAATCCAAATCAAGCAAGAAGAATATAAGATTTTCATCTCTCAAGAAGGGTATGCCGAGGAGATTTTGAAAAAGTTCAACATGGCGAATTGCAAGCCGATAAGTACGCCAATAGAATGTGGTGCCAAGGTATCAAGATATGAAGAGGGAGATACTGTTGATCCAACATTCTTCAAGAGTGTGATTGGAAGTCTTCGGTACCTGACTTGCACGAGACCCGACATTCTGTTCGCAGTTGGATTTGTCAGTCATTACATGGAGACTCCGACAACAACTCATTTGAAGATGACAAAAAGGATCCTACGCCACATCAAAGGTACCGTCGCTCTTGGTTTGCCGTACTCATCAACTAACAGTTTTGAGCTATATGGATACAATGACAGTGATTGGGTTGAAGATGTTGATGGTCGAAAGAGCACCACTGGATTTGTATTGGAGGCTATGCTTTCACTTGGTCATCGAATACGCAACCCATAGTGACGCTTTCCACATGTGAAGTTGAATATATAGCCGCTACCTCATGTGTATGTCATGCTATATGGCTCTGAAACTTGTTGAAGACGGTGAACTTAGTGCAAGATAAACCCACCAAAATCCATGTCGACAACAAATCAACATTGACACTGGCAAAAAATCCAGTCTTCTATGACAGAAGCAAGCACATTGACACTCGTTATCATTACATCAGAGAGTGTATTGCAAAGAAGGAGATGAAACTTCAGTATGTCAAGTCTCATGATCAGATTGCAGACATCTTTACAAACCCATTGAAACAAGAAAACTTCGAAATGATCAGGACCACACTCGGAGTCACCAAAATCAAGTTTATGGGGAAATGTTGAAAATTAAACTTGATTTTAAAAAATTAATTAAATAAATATTTTGGTATGATTATAAAAAATGTGATTAATATGAAAGGTGTGTGAAATGTGATTAATACGTTAGTCTGTGAAAATGTGATGAAATTGTAGTTTGGTGAGATAGTTAGAAATGTGTAGAAGAAAATTAGGTAAAAATATGTTTAATAAGTGAGTTAGATATGTAGTATAAATATGTGGGTTTGTAGTATAAATATGTGTGTTTGTATGTAGTTTGAAATCAAACAAATTTGAAGAGAGAAACAAAGAGAAAGATTAAGAAAAAAACATTTCTCTTCCAAAATCTTCAAATTCTTTCTTCCTCCAAATATTTTCTAATCTGCTCCAAAAATTCTAAACATTAAATAATCTTCCTCTTTCATCCGAATAATCCTCCTCTCTAATCCAACAGTAATGAGAAGAATAGTGTTATCTTGATGTTGTTTCGAATCTGCCTGAGAAGTATTGTGTTGTTTAGATTAGTTTTGTTGTTTCCATGATGGCCTTGTGAGCTTCGATGAAGAGAAGAACATGATTCCTCAGAATCTGGGCTCGTTCAAGGAAGAAAGCAACAAGCTTTTGGATCTGTCCGATTTTGAGAGCAAACATTCGGTAAAAATGAAACAATTTATATAAAACTAAAGCAAAACAAGGACTTGTATAAAAAGGAAAATTCTATGTGCATAGAGTTGATATTTTGATCTACGGACAATTATTAAAATCTCTCGTAAGAAGGATTATAAGAATAAAAATCTCTCATGAGAAGGTGCCAAAACCCAGGAGACACAAACACACGACGAACAAGATGGAGATTTTAGTTTTTATTTTATTTTATTATCAAACCGGTCCGGTTCGACTATTAAATTGTGATTCACTTGAACCGATTCATCTGACGTCGCTACTCACGTCGATGCTTATTAGAATTTTTTAACATTGAATCATCACATTTTTTTCCGGTTTCTGTTACAAGTTAAACGTCGTTAACGTAAACTGATTTATTTAGAAACAAAAATATAAAATTTAGGTATTTATATAGGATTTTCGAAAAATTCAAATATTTATATGAGAATTTTATAGTTTAGGTATTTATATGAAAATTTTTATAAAATTTTGGATATTTATATGCGATTTTCTTTTTAAATTAATATATACATATTCATACATGCATATATATATATATATTAAAAATAAAATTATTTATAATTAATAAAACACATATATACATATCTACGATATATATATATTATAAATTATATTATAAATAATATATATATATACATATTATTTTTAATAGATATTATATATATATTAGTTAAAATTATTTTTATTTTAATAAATATATTAGTTGTATATGTATATATTGTATGTATATACATATCATTTTTAATAGATATATTATATGTATATATGTTAGTTATAATTATTTTTATTTTAATATGTATATTAATTGTATATATATATGTTGTATGTATAAGTAATATATATATATATGTATATATATATATATTATTTTTAATATCTATTAGTTATAATTATTTTTATTTTAATATATATATATGATTAGTTTTAATATAGATATATGTTATAGGTATGTATATATGTGTTTTATTGAGAGAAAAATATTTGAAAATTTCTGAACTTGTAATTTGGTGTAATATTAGTTCATGAACTTGTAGATGCGTCTATTTATTCCCAAATTTATATTTTTAACAAAGTAATTCCTAAACTGGTTTAATAGTTCTATAATCGTCCATACCACTAATTAACCAAAGCAAAGTTTAGGAATTACTGTATTAAAAAATACAAGTTTAGAAATTACTGTGTTAAAAAATGTAAGTTTAGGACTATGTTCAAAAATATAAGTTCGGGAATAAATAGATGCATCTACAAGTTCAGAAATGAATATTACACCAAATTACAAGTTTAGAAAATTTCAGGTATTTTTTCCTTTTATTAATTATAAGTAATTTTATTTTTAATATATATGTGTGGATTTATATGTATATATATTAATTTAAATAAATTATTCGACTAAATTTTTTTTAAAATGATGACGTGACATAATTATGATGTTGTGTGCATAACTTGGGAGCCATGTTATTGACACATCGTCATTTTTATTTGAGTTGTCAAACGCGGGATTTTCTACAAATTTTTAAAAATTTCGGGGTTTTATTAGTTAATTACATCAAATATAGGATTTAATTAGTAACAGAAAAAAATATAGGATTTTTATCCACTTGAAGAGAGTACAAAAGTTTTTTTTTGTGATTTCTCCTTATTTTTATGTTGAAATTTAAATGTAGGAAAAAATATCTGAAAATTTTTAAACTTGTAATTTAGTATAATATTAATTCATAAATTTGTAGATATGTCTATTTATTCTCAAACTTATATTTTTTTAACACAATAATTTCTAAATTTGTTTAATATTTCCATAATCGTACATGACCAAAATAAAGTTTAGAAATTAATGTATTTAAAAATATAAATTTAGAAATTATTGTGTTAAAAAATATAAATTCAGATATTATTGTATTTAAAAATATAAATTCGAAAATAAATAAATATATTTATAAATTTAAAAATTAATATTATACTAAATTACAAATTTAGAAATTTTGTCGTATTTTTTGCGTATAGTTTTTAGGTGGTACCGACAGTTTTCCTGGTTCTATAAAAATGGAATTGCAGTTTGGTAAGGAAACGACGTCGGTTTCGTCGTCGTCTTCGTCGGAGATTCTGTTGAAAAATTTGCGTCAGGAAATTTTTTTATGTTCTCTCTCTCTCAGCTTCTGTAGTTCTTCATCGATGGTATCGCTTCGCTTCCTCTTCCCCATTCTGATTCTCGCGTCTTCTTCTCTCCCACGCTGCTTCGGTGAAAGGTAAATCAGGAAACTCCTGTTCAGTCACCACCTTCCCGGACTCTGTTCTCTGTTTCTAGCCCCGGATTCAGGCTTTCATGTTTCTTCCGCGATTTTAGCATTTCCATTTCCGAATTTAGATTTTAGAGCAATCGTAACTAGGATCACTTGGATCTCTAGTTTCTGTTGTAAAACGTTGAATTTCGACCGCTGTTCGTACTGGGAGCTGATGATTGAGATGTAAATTTCCGGTTTAGAATAGGAATCCCGTTTTCTATTGGTATATTTTGCTATATTATGGTCACAGATCGTTACTTTGGTTTGTTTTTTCTGATTGATTATTGATCTCAATCGTAAATTAAATAATGATCTTGTGCTTGCCATAGAGATGAAACATATTCAGCACAAGGGGTTATGAAGATGTGATCTTAATCCAGTTTTATCAGCTTTGAGACTGTTGCTGTGTCACGGATTAGTTGTCTGGATAGCTAATGGCCCCATACTACTGCATTTTTTGTGTTTCTTCTGGCGTTCTTAATTTGCAGCCGGAAGGAACTGCGATATAAAGGAATTGGAAGTGGGAACTATATAGAATTCAGTTCAGGTCTTGGATCCAAGACCGTCGACCCAAGTCGCGTTCTTCAACTCTCATGGCAGCCAAGGTCAGGTACTTTAGCAGTTTAATGGACTTATGTTTCTACTTTGTCCAAAAAATCATGGTGAATGATAATCCAAGTACTCTCTGCTTAGGTTGCTACATACTAAAATCCTGCAGAAATGGATATCAAATATGGATTTGTTTCATCTTTCGATTAATTGACCACATGAGAACATTCTAGGGTAGGGATTCTATATTTGTCACAGAAAATCCAGATAGCAGGGAGGTAGTGACTTGGAAAATGGAAATCCAGTTTGCAAAAGTTACAATCTCATGATAAATGCTTTACCACCTTTCTCATTCATATTGGGATTCTGATTCCGCTTAGTCGATGCAGGGTCTTCTTCTACCGTGGGTTCTTAACGGAGGAAGAATGCGATCATCTAACATCTCTGGTATACCTCTACCTTTCTAGTTTAAGAAAGAATGGACTTGGAGCCCACGTTTGTTTCGCAGGCCTTGAAGGATCCAAAATGGCGAAGTGCGATGACAGAGGAGTTTAATGCCTTGCTTCGCAACGGCACTTGGAAAGGGCACTTTAGAGGTTGACAGTAATTCAGGTGATGCTGATGGAAAGAAGCAGCTTGCAAGTTCTGAGTACGTGCTCGATGTCCCAGTGAGTTTCATAGTTCTCTCGGTATTTTAGTTGCTTAAGTTTAGACTGGAATTCTTCCGGTCATTGTCTGAAAACATTATGTGGTGCAGTATATGATCCTTTTTTAGGTAGATTGGTAAAGACTGCCTGCCAAGCACTTATTTCTTACTTTCCTGCTACGAAATAAGGGAATTCAACTGCATCCACATTTTTCACCCACCAGAGATTCTCAGAATTCACTCCATTGTCAGTTGGAATGTACTGATTTTTAGTAATTTCCTATTGTTTGCTCTCAGGGGAAATTAGTTTTTCTATCAGAACTTTACTTGTTACAACATGGGTTCATCCCTAATTTATGATGCTTGAAAAGTAGGATCCTGTGGTTGCTGGAATAGAGGAGAGAATTTCTGCATGGACTTTCCTTCCAAGAGGTATATAACTTTACAATCCCCATCTTCATCATGTTGCTCATGACAAGCTTCTACTCTTTGGTTAGACTTGTAATCTCCTACTCGCAACTGCATTGTCTTTTTCTGCTCCAGAAAACAGTCACCCAATCAAGGTATCACGTTATGGTTCCGAGAGGGTGGGAGAGAAGTTGGATTATCTCGGAGAGAAATCTAGGTCTGAAACCCGAGATTCTTTGTTGGCAACCGTCATTCTTTACCTCTCAAACACAACTCAAGGTGGAGAAATCCACTTTCCAGAATCTGAGGTCAGTTAAGACAATACAAAATAAAACTATCTCGGTGTAAGCATAGAACAAGATCTAATTCTAATCTGAAACAAATTTTTGTATGTTTCAGGCGAGAAACAGGATTTGGCCCGACTGCTCAAAGACCAGTAGCATCTTAAGACCCATCAGAGGGAACGTGGTTCTGTTTTTCACGCGGCATCTCAACACTTCTGTTGATCAGACAAGCATTCACGTTAGATGCCCTGTTCTCGAAGGCGAAATGTGGGTCGGAACGAAACTGTTCTATGTGAGACCGCCTCCCAAACAGATCAGAGGGACGACCGAGCAAAAAAACAGCGAATGCACCGACGAAGATGAGAGCTGTTCTCGCTGGGCTGCTCTTGGGGAGTGCCTGAAAAATCCTGTTTATATGATTGGTACTCCTGATTACTCTGGTGCGTGTAGGAAGAGTTGCAAAGCTTGTTAATTCCATGGGGGTCATTTTGATAATTTTGGAAATAACGGGAAAGAATTGAGGATTTGTAAGACTAATGGGCAAAAGCTCCAAGTTAAAAACGATGGTAATATCTTCTCTTATACTAATCAATGATCCAACCCATTGTTTTCGTTGTTCCATCGAAGTACGCTAATAATATTTCTAAATATGGACGATGTCTTTATATACATGTACATATATTTTAAAGTAGACGTTTCGGCTTCGATTTAGTATTTGTCGGATTTGTTTCTATAAAAAAAAATTGTGCGAAATTAGAAAAGAACGTTTTTTTCCATCTGGTTTGATTTAGAACGATTTTGTTACATGATATCTATACCAAACAAAACCAAAACTTGATGTCCGAATGTAACTTTGTGTACAAGGAGGATGGATCGATTTAATCAATTCTACAAAAATTGTACTAAATTATCGAATACTATTGTGTTCAATTCAATCCATCTCAGTTTTGATTCGAACCGCTTTGGAATCGAATTCTCGAACCGAGACGACCACCTAAATATACATGGAATTCCTTACCAAAAAAAAAAAAGATGAATGAGAAATTAAGAGCATTCATAAGAACGATTGGGCGAGGCTCCATCTCATCAGATTGCATCGATTTTCTTATTTATCAAATTTCGGCAAGACTATATAAACTGACACCGCGTTTGTGACCAGAAGTTTTATTGAAATGTAGAATCGTGTATACCATTTTTATTCCTTTAAACATGCATATATAAGCGTATTATTGAAATGTAATTCAGTAATGTTATGTATATGTGTGTATATATATATATATTATATCAACAACGGTTGACTTCGGTTAAGATTTGATCAATTCATATGCATTAGTTAATATCTAGGGATTTGATTGTTTTGTCTTTCCTTAAAAATAGGAACATGTTTTCATATAATAAACCTAAATTAAGGATATGTTGTCATTGTTTTGTATATATAAACACATGTAATCTCACTCTTGAAAACAAGATTAAAAACATTCAAATTCTAAATCCTTTTATGGTATCAGAGCTACCATCGAAAGATTTTTTTTTCCTTCTAAACCTTAATCTTCTTCATCCTCCTCGCGACCGTCGCCTCTCTTTCGTTCGAGCCTCTCTATCGATATGGCCACCAACATCTTATACAACACATCAACTCTTCCTACCGACACCGTGACTCCTTATAGCTCCGACAACCCAATGATTAACGTCAACATTTCGAATGTCTCGAAACTCACAACCACCAATTATTTAACGTGGAGTCTCCAAATCCGAGATCTTCTTCAAGGATACAATCTCGACGGATTCCTAGATCCGATACAAGCTCCAACACCGACGGTCACCTCCGACAACGTGGTCTCCTCGAACCCCGTCTACACGTCATGGTTTAGGCAAGACCGGTTCGTTTTCTCGGCGTTATTCGGATTGATTTCTGAAAGTTGCAAAGCCCTCGTTGCCTCGGCCACCACTTCGGCCATCGCTTGGAATACTCTTGCTCAAACCTATGGCCGCTCCAGTCGAGGCCATGTCAAACTCATCAAGGATCACATGAGGCGTTACACCAAAGGAGCCAAAACCGTGGATGAGTACATGAACTTCTTCAAGATGAAAGCCGATGAACTCGCTCTCCTCGGTAAACCGATGGACCACGAAGACCTTGTTGATCTCATTCTCGGTGGCCTCAGTGATGAATACAAACTGGTCAAAGACATCATTCACGCACGGGACACCACAATTTCGTTCGTGGAGCTTCATGAGAAACTCCTAAGTCACGACATCGACCTTGCAACCGCGACCCCATTGCTCAACACACCGATCACGGCCAACATGTCTCAACATGGCTTCCGAGGCTCGTGGCGTCCTCTTTCTCTACAAGGCCCTCGACCGTACTCAAGTTCGAAGTCCCCTCGACCACCATTCACGCAGTCTCGTGGTACATCCCTGCGTTCCTCTTCTTCTCGGGGATACCTTGGCAAGTGCCAACTTTGCGGGATACAAGGACATAGTGCTCGAACATGTCGTCTTCTTCCTTCGGGCTTTCGTTCCTTCTCGGATCGACCATCACCGCCTGGTCCCGCACCGTGGCAGCCCTCGGCCTTTCCAGTCGCTATGTCATCACCATCCGATGCTTCTTGGCTACTTGACTCAGGAGCCTCCCACCATGTGACCACCGACCTCGCCAACCTATCACTTCACGCTCCTTACAACAACGGAGATGAAGTCACCATTGGAAATGGTTCCGACCTTGCTATAACACACACGGGTTCTTCCACTCCACCCTCTAACACTCGCCCCATATTACTTCATAATGTTCTTTTTGTCCCGTCCATGCATAAAAACCTCCTTTCTATTCATCAACTTTGTCAGTCTAACAATGTCTCAGTGGAATTCTTTACTCATTTCTTTCAGGTGAAGGATCTCAACACGGGGGCAATACTAGTAACCGGGCCGCTCCATAATGGTGTGTATGTTTGGCCAAGTCTGAGTCCATCTCTTTTACAAACTCCTTCGAATAAGTCACTGGTTCTTGAACTCTCGAGTGCCAAGACTTCCCTTTTCAAGTGACACTCTAGGATAGGTCATCCATCCAAAGATATCATTCATTTTGTTGTTTCTAATTTTTCTCTACCGTTGTCGCATAATTCTCAAGTCTTGTCTTGTAAACCCTGTTCTATTACTAAAAGTTACAAGCTTCCATTCTCTATATCTTCGGTTACTTCTTCGCGTCCTCTTGAAATTTTATATTCCGATGTTTGGACATCTCCTCTTACTTCTTTTGACGACTTCAAATACTACGTCATTTTTGTCGATCATTTCACACGCTATACATGGTTCTATCCCCTTCGTCAAAAGTCTCATGTCTCTACCATTTTCACTTGTTTTAAACCTCTTGTCGAAAACCGTTTTCAAACAAAAATAGTCACATTATATTCCGACAACGGTGGCGAGTACATCGCACTCAAAGATTTCTTATCCACTCATGGCATTTTACATTTCACAACACCTCCCCATACACCTGAACATAATGGCCTCTCTGAGTGAAAACATCGCCATATTGTTGAAACGGGTCTTACTCTTCTTTCCCATGTATCTATCCCACCCGAGTTTTGGACCTTCGCTTTCCCAACGGCCATACACTTAATTAATCGTCTTCCTACGCCGGTTCTTAGTCATCGGTCTCCCTTTGAGCTTCTTTTCACTGTCATACCAAACTACACCAAACTTCGCACATTTGGTTGTCTTTGCTATCCATAGCTTCGGTCGTATTCCCGACACAAACTTGATTCCCGATCGGCACCTTGTATATTTGTTGGTTACTCTCTTACACAAAGTGTCTTTCTTTGCTTCCATGTTGCTACATCACGGTTATATGTGTCCCGACATGTTGAGTTCGTCGAGTCTTAGTTTCCTTTCTCTCGTCTCGTCTCGGCCTCTAACGTCGGTTCTACATCACCGCTATCTACCTCCCATTCTCACTCCTCACTTGTTCCGACTTGGCCGTCGACAAACACATCAACGCCCGTGATGCTCCCACGTTTGGCTCCTTCATCTCCAGGATACACAGATTCCCCTTGACTAAACACTACCACCCCTCGTCAGACTCTTTACACCGTGACCCACATGATACTACCTCACCATTACCATCTCGACTCTCAGATCACTCACCTAGTCCACCTATTACATCGGCCTACCCTCCACCAATCGTCACTGAGCCATTAGTCACCACCAACACTCATCCAATGGTCACTCGGGCTAAAAACCACATCACCAAACCTAATCCTAAACTCTCCTTATCCACCACTCTTGACCATTCCCAAGACTTGGAGCCCACGTTTGTTTCGCAGGCCTTGAAGGATCCAAAATGGCGAAGTGCGATGACAGAGGAGTTTAATGCCTTGCTTCGCAACGTCACTTGGAGTCTTGTACCTCCACACCCGTCTTACAACGTCATTGGTTGTAAGTGGGTTTTTTGAACTAAGCGTTTATCTGATGGCTCTGTTGACAGGTACAAAGCTCGTCTTGTGGCAAAGGGATTTCATCAACGGCCCGATATTGACTACACTGATACATTCAGACCAGTTATCAAACATGCCACCGTTCGATTAGTCCTAAGCATTGCCGTGTCAAAAGGTTGGACTCTACGGCAACTTGACGTCAACAATGCTTTTCTCCAAGGCACACTTCATGAAGATGTCTATCTTGCCCAACCGCCGGGATTCATCGATCGAGATAATCCCTCATTTCTATGCAAACTTCACAAAGCCCTATACGGTCTTAAGCAAGCTCCGAGGGCATGGTACAATGAGCTTTGCCAGTTTCTCCTCCACTCCGGGTTTAGTAACTCTCTCTCTGACACTTCTTTGTTTAACTACCACCGTGATAATGTTATCATCTATCTCCTTGTTTACGTGGATGACATCATTATCACCGGTAGTCACAAGGCATCGGTACAAGAATTCATTAATCGTTTAGCTCAACGCTTTTCCGTCAAGGATCTCGGTGATCTAGCTTTCTTCCTTGGTGTTGAAGTTACCCGCACGAGCAAGGGAATTCTTCTCACGCAACGACGCTACATCACAGACATCTTCTCCCGCCATAATGGCCTTGGCAAATCCCGTGCCAACCCCCATGCCCTCCACGTCGGCCCTCCACCTTTACTCTGGCACTCCTCTTGATGATCCTATCGAGTTCCGACAAATTTTGGGCAGTCTCCAATACCTCCTATTTACTCACCCTGACATTGTTTTTACCGTCAACAAGTTATCGCAATACATGCATCGACCAACCTCAGATCATTGGCAAGCTCTGAAGCGTGTTCTCCGTTATCTCAGTGGAACTCGCACCCTTGGTATCTTTCTCTCCAGCTCCACATCTCTGTCGCTTCACGCTTTTTCGGATGCCGACTGGGGTGGCAATCGTGATGACTTCACCTCCACTGGAGCTCACATTATATATCTCGGCCACAACCCCATCTCATGGTCCTCCAAGAAGCAACGATTCGCTGCCAAGTCTTCAACCGAAGCTGGGTATAAATCGGTTTCCACCACTGCTTCTGAGGTTCAGTGGCTTGTCTCACTACTATCCGAGCTTGGTGTCTCTATCTCTCCCATGCCGGTTATCTACTACGACAACATTG